CAGTTCCTCACAAAGCCTTTCAGAGCGTGAACAAGTGGAGCATTGGCAATATGACATTAAGGTCTCATCTTGGCCAAAGAGTCCGCACGCCCCATGACGACTGGCCATTGACCAGCGGCCCATATGAACCCACAAGTGGCTCCCAGCTGTAGCGGGGCCTAAAAAGAGGCGCTGTGCTTAACCTTCTCCAGCCCACTTGCTCGTCTGAGAACATGTGTGAGGTACGAGGGAACAGGTTTGTCTTTGATGAGAGAGTTTGTTTTTGGTTCTCAGTGAGGAGAGAGAGGTGGCACAGTCTGGCTGCTGACGTAGCCTGTGGGACAGCCGAGACCGTGTGGGGGGTACAGCTCGCCAGGCAGCTGGGAGCTCCTTTGCTGGGACGTCTGCCTGTGGATTTAGCTCTCTGTGGACATGTCTAGATACTGTGTCTTTATTTCCAATGGCCAACCCGCTGGACAAGAGGCCTGTACTGTGTGCTCTCCGAAATGAATGCAGCTCTGTTAGCACTTTTCCAAGCTGTGCCAACTGTCCTCTGACTGTCTGATGTCTGCAAAGCTGACCTAACTAACACACGTAGTTTAATGTACCAATTAGGGGCGTGATGACATTTTGAAAATGAATTTGGTTAAAGAGATGCAACAGTTTACTTAGTACTTTTCATAAACATCACATAATTCAGTATGACATGTAAGGAGGTGGCATCATTCACAAACATGCTTCATCAAGTCCTGAGTTTCCAATAAGGGTACAATTTTGAAGACGGTAAGTTTCTGTGACCAACAATAATTTGTTTCCCACCTACAGAAAGCAGGGCTGGGAATCAATTATTTGCATGATTCAATTCGATTTGATTCACAAACTCCAGAATTGATTCCACTTTTGTTCAGTTTCAATATTTTTTTAGACCGCCTATTCTGAAAATTGTAGTGTCTTTAGAGTCTTTTTTTGTTGGCAATTGGGTTACACTGATAGCACTGCAAGTTTTTGATTCCCTACAGTACACAGAACCGACTCACAAGATGTGTTTGTGAATCGGACTACACTGGTAGCGCTTTGCATGTTTGTCAATAGAAAGACTATTATTTTGCGCTACACAAAGTTTTTTGTATTGCGTCACAGTGCGAAATTACATTTAGAACTAATAATTAGTTAGATATTAATTTCTTAGCAGAAAAGTTGTACAGGAAACACACAACTAAGAGACCTTTGCCTTTTGTAATTGCGTGTTTCCTGTACCAATTTTCTTTGTCGCTGCGGTTTAATTTTCAGCCCCATTGCAATTTTTTTTTTTTTAATATCTTACCCGAGTTATGAATGTGATTTATCAGTGTGATCAATTCAAAAGATCGATTTGAAGAATCAATATTTCACAATGATCATGATCAGGCAACGCATTCTCACCCCAAGGCGTCACCTTTGACCATGCTTCAATATTTGACGCTTTAGGCGCCAAATCGATGCTACGGTGTCATCTAACTGACGCTAAAGGAAAAGTGTCAGTTAGATGACGCGGGTAGGTTTAGGTATGGGGTAGGGGTAGGGTTACACGCGATCCTAGGGCGTCATCTAACTGACGCTCAAAATGCTTCCCAAGGCGAAAGTTAGGTGATGCCTTGGGGGTGAGAATGGGCTGGATCAGTATAATATGAATTATACACAAAATGTATATTTTCCCCAGTTCTAACTGTTTTCTAACCATGAATCACACCAATAGCCAGTTATAATAAAGCAACACCCATTTTAGTGTCTTTGAAGAAATCTCTGCAGTGGCCACTCACTGAATCCTGGGAGCAGAGCTGTGAAGAGGAAGGTCCAGGCTGCTCAGGTCCACAAAGGTTGGAGTCAGACAAAATATGTGTCAAGCGAGCGTGCTGCTAATTATGCCTTGACTATTACCTGGACTGACAGCAAGAGAATGGGAGGAGAGGGGGTGGGTCCGGAACATTCAGTCAAGCAGAAAGTTCCCAAACGCTGAGGCTAACACAGGTCAAGTGATTTGGCGCCTCGGGTGTATTAAAGCTATTTACAAGAGGCAGAGGGATTTATGGTGCTTTTGCACAGTCTGTTCTTTTATATGACCTGGCACTAGGTGGTCATGCTTTCTGACCTACTCAATCATTATTTCGACCCAATAAAAATCTTTCTTTTCAGATGTATTCAGGTTGTGTTTTAGAAACTAGAAGTGTTCAACGAGAGAATCTCTGTAGACACCATAATAAAATAACACAGGAACACAAATGTTTTTGTACAGTTTTACAGTTGTTATAGCAGGGGGGCCGCAAGTTATTGAAGCTCAAACAAAGTGATATAAAATAATAAAGATATATTTAAGATTCTCAACTAATCCAATAAGTCAATTTGTAACTTTGATCATGTGACTTTTGGAGAAACTCAGAAGTTGCCCGTTAGAATCATCTCAAATCACACTGCAGAACATGATCATTTTTCAGTTTTTTGTTTGTGCATCTTGTTGTCATTAATGCAAAAGAGAGACAAACCAAATTCTAAGACACTCTGAAATTCATGTATTTTTTTAGTTCAGCTTTTCAATCTGTAATATAATTTGTCATTTAAAAAAATGCAAATATAGGTTGTATACGTGTCATAATTAATAGATATATTTATTTGTTACACGTCTCATGATTGTTAGGTTTTAGATTTTCAAAATTAAGAAGAATTATATATTATTTTTAAAATCTAAGACCTAATGTTTAAAAAAAATCTAATGGAATGGAACAAACCACTGATTGGAGAGGCAGGTAATCCATGAACTCATTTTTGCAGCTTGCTTATACTTCCATCTAGTGGACATAAATGATAAAATGGAAAGAATCTAGTAACCGTGATGAAACGGTACAAATGTCAATTGTGTCTCTCTTTTAGCAAATCATATATTTTACTGTAGATTATTGTTATTCCCTTAAACAATATGCTATATATATCCATTAACAAATATTTTTTATTAATAATTTATTTCTGCTATGCAAAGCTGAATTTTCAGCATCATTACGTCTTTAGTGTCACATGATCCTTCAGAAATCATTCAATGCTGATTTATTATATTGCAAACAGCCATGCTGCTTTATCCGTGATACTTTTTTTCAGGGTTCTAAGATGAATAAAAATAAAAATAGCGTTTACATTTCTTGGGGTCAGTCTTTTGTTTTCTTTTTTTTAAAGCACTTAATACTTTTATTCAACAAGGATGTATTAAATTGATAAAAAGTGATGGTAAAGATGTATATTTTGAATAAATGTTGTTCTTTTAAACTTTCTATTCATCAATGAATCCTGAAAAAAGTATCACAGGTTATAAAAAACAATATTGATAATAACGGAGTATTAAAACAGCATATTAGCATGATTTCAAGAAACGTGACATTGAAGACGGGAGTAATGTTGCTGAAAATTCAGCCTTGCATTACAGAAATAATTTATATTATAACTTATATTAAAATATAAAAAATGCATTATTTTTAATTGTAATAGGCTAATATTAATTAATAAGTTTTTTTCTGTATTTTTGATCAAATAAATGCAGGCTTGATGAGCATAAGAAACTTCTTTCAAAAACATCAATGACTGTAATGTGTGTGTGTGTGTGTATCACAAACACTGAATAACTGCATATCTGGTCAGTGACATAAAATCTGTCTGATTGCTCAACAGGGTTTATGGCCCCCGGTCTGCAACCAACTGAGAGCGTTGCCATGACGACACCAGCTGCACAAGTGAGATAAAAATAGAATGAAAATCAGAAATACATGAAAAGGTTAAAACATCATTTATGTGATTCCATATATCTCATATTTAATGTATTAATTAATTTGTTTTGGAGGTGGGCTTTAGAATGGTTACAGAAATAGGATGTATTTCTGTTGTGTTTGTGGAGTATTTACTCTTTATTCAGGTTTTTGCACGTTATGTTAGTTTTCCTCGGTTTCACATATTGTAGTGGCAAGTGTTGAATTCTGACATTTTTGTCCTTGGATATATGTTATTGAGCTCAGTTGATAGCTCATCTGTCTGTCAAAACTAAAGGTCAGTTTCTTCACTCCCTTTACATGAAGAGCACATTGACAGACGCATTACTAGGTTAAACCTTCTTCCCAGCATTGAGCCATTCTTTCCTAACAACATTCTTCAGTTCTAAAGAGCTTTTGGGAATTAAGCTAAATTTACTTTGTTGGTGATGTAGAGAGATTTAATCAAAGTATTCAAAAATTGCAATATGTGAATGATATTCACTCTGCATAATTCAGTTTGACTTTCAAGGGATCTTCAATTGCATTTTACTTTAAATAAACCAAGTGCCCTTTCACTGGTATTTGCATAGCCAGGATGATTTGATTTCCTTATCCATGTATGAAAATTTTGTGATTAAGCGAACATGATGGAGGTTTAACTTTTGGATGGAGGTTTGACAGTTAGAAATGGGATTCTTGCTCATCTCAGAACAAATTGCTTTGTCATATTGAACTACTTTAACCACTATTTTACCAATTTGTTGAATAAATGTTACATGCAAATGACATCATTTTTGCTTATGTAGCCAACACACTGCATACACTCTTAAAAATAAAGGTTCTTGATTGGCATAAATGGTATGAAGAAGGTTTAACATCAATGGAAACATTCCATTAGACAAAAGTTCTTTAAAGTGAGAAAATGTTCTCCAGATTATTCTGTGAAGAAAATAAAAAGTTTTTTTAAGGTTAAGAACTGTTCACAGAAAGGTTCTTTGGAGAATCCAAAATGGTTCTACTATTCGCTACATATATAAAACATACTATATTGCATACAACTCTCTTTTGGAACCTTTCTTTTTAAGAGTCTACTATTATTACAAAACTGCTGACATGTTTCTTGTTGACATAAGAAGATTTCTACTGTATTTCAGTGACTTCATCCTTCAGGCACACTACATGGTTCTCTTTTGAGGACGGAGAGAGGCCAGAGATACATGGCTCCTCCCTCAGTGTAAGTAAAAACATTCCAGCCAAGTGAGCGAGCCAGCGAATATGAAACCCTGGAAGTCCCTGATTCCGGTCCCTTCTCCTTGTGAGCACTCACACGCTTACTAGAGGACGAGGACGCCCCATAAGCAGCTGCAGCACATCTTTTTTGAGACTTCTTTTGTTTTGTGGAGTACCTGAAAGCGTCCCTTATCCAAAGCCACCATGAAAGCCACCATATTTTTCAGTCTCTTGACCTTTTTAGCTCATTCCAGAGGCCAGTACCACTACCAGGGCCTGATGAACTACCTGGAAAACAGGATGCTTGCTATGGAGGTAAGAGAATTTTGGTTCATCGGGCCACGTTTCAATACACAGTCTGCAGTCCTGCTAGTTTTCAGCCATTTTACAGAGACGTTCACTTTTCTAGACATACATCAAAACAATGCTAATTCTAAGAGTTCTTTACATTTATTCTACTCGACAACACTTGAAAATGTTGGCAATATCTGTAGCACAGTTTGTTCAAAGTGAGAGTACACGGTACACACACTATGAAGTAGCTTCTCAAACCAAAGAACCATAGCTTAGATCAACAGACAAAACAAAGTCTTCATCTAAGCAAGTGCTGGCTCACATTTACTAAAGATTTGGAGACTTAAATCTTCATTACTTTTGAAGAAAGTCATAAAGATTTAAGTCGTCTTACTTTTAGTCTTGTAGTGTAGTTAGTAATAACTATATATTATGCATAATTATTAATCCTAACCATAACCATATAGTAAGTGCACATAGTTACTCAGTTATGCATAATTACACTGTAACAAAGACACCTTAAAATAAAGTAAAACCATTTGTTTCTTGAGTGAAGTTATGCCCCAGTGCAGAGAAACATTTTCTTGATTGACTGAATAGTTTATCTCAGCATTTTTGTTCAGTGAAGCTGTGTTGAATATAATTACTCGTGATTAAGTAGACACGTTATTAGAATAATAATTATTTATTCTGTCCATCTACATATGTCATCATTTATGCTGACAGGACTGCCTTGATTACCTGAATCAGCAGGAGTCCACTGAACACAGTGTTCTTAAAATGTGTGTGATGTACAGTACAAGAAGACTAAAAGCCCTTATTTTATATATATTTTTTTCTGGTTAGAAAGGTACAATTCTCACTATTAATAACTATTTGCACCAACTTTTTGCCTCATTAAAGTCCTGCTTTAAAATTACTGCTTATTAATAGTTAAATTTAGGCATGAGATTGGGGATGTAGAATATGGTCATGCAGAATAAAGCTTAAAACAGCCAATATCGTAGTGATATGCATGTTAATAAGCAAAGTTAATGTTGAGAATTGGACTGTTATTTTTTAATCTGGTCCCAAAGTAAGGACTGAAGAAAAAAAAAGTATTTTCCAATTAATATTTATGGAGCAACAACATTTATGAGAAACAAAGTTCGTTTTGATTTGAAATCATGCAATATTAAAGTCAGCTTGAGCAGCTAGCCTAGAGCAAAAGGCCCCGGGGGTGGCCACACGGATATGGTATACATATTTAATGAAAACACTGACAATTCAGCACCATATTCAAGCACTTTTAATATAGTAATACAGTATGGGAAGTTTCGTGACATGTTCTGTAGCTCCTGCAACAAGAAGGTTCCTCAAAGCATTTCACTCACCACAGATTCAATTGTTAAATGAAATAAATGCTGTCCTTTTTGAAGTCAAAGAATTAAAAAAAAGTATCATGGTGTCAAGTATCATTTTCACAAAAATGTTGAGCAGCACAATATTGATAATATGTTATAATATACAATCAAGTCACTAAATAGCTGTAACTACATTGCATGATAAATTTTTATTTTTTATTTTATATAACTGATTTGTGGAACTGAAGGGTCTCAAATTCAGGACTCACTATTTATCACAATTTGTTAAAAATATGTATTGAATTTTATGGGTTCCTTGATAGCCTCAGACATCACTCTGAGGTTCTCCATCTTCTGCATTCAGATAAAAATTGATTTTACCTTTGACTGGGGGAAAAAAGGCTAACACATGCTGGCTAACACAACACTTCTGAACCATTATTCCCTGCAGGCCTATTCACCATTGGAATAAGTTAACATTGGACAGAATTTGCTGCACTTTTTTGATCTGGCTGAAGATCATCTTAAACAATTATGTGACTCAGTGTATTTCTCATTTTTCCAGGAACGCATTGCCCTGTGGCATGAACAGAACAACCGCTACAACTCCGACCTGAAGGAATTCAGGCAGCAGGCCGTAGACCTGTTGGAGAAGTTGGGCAAAGAGCACAGTAAACTGCGTTCCGACATGGAGGGCGCAGGAGCACGGGTCGACCGCGTGGAGCGTGAGATGGACTATATTGAAACCAAGAATCCACCTAAGCCTTGTGTGAAAGCAGCAGACAAAATGGTGGAACAGGACGCAGTTTTCAAAGAGAGGAAGAAGGAAGAGTTCTTTGAGCTGTCTGGTGAGTCGGGGAAATCAGGTTTTGACAGCTGAAGCCCAGCTTTTGATCATTTACTTTCAGTTTTAGCCCCATGACATACTCTTAGGAGATTTAGCCTACCGTTACAAAGCAGTCCAGTTTGGGGGTTTCTCTGGAAAATTGTAATACTGGAAAATCAAATTGGCAGAGTTAAAAGCTGCAGTTCTAGGCTGAGAGGATGAACAAAAAAGCATGTGCTTTGATTTAAGACATTTGTATTTTATGAGAACTAGCATCTCAGTTACACTCATCCATATTGGGATTGTGCTGTAGGCCTTGTTACTGTCTCACTTGAACAGTATAATGGTAGAATTTCCGCTAATGCTTGGCTGCCTTGCACAAAGGATTTATTCGTTTAGAGGAAATGTGCTGCGTCTTGTTAATTAGGAAACAAGGAACAAAGAATCAAGCCAGTCAGTTCACTAGAGTAGCCGTTTGGCTTTTGTGGTTAAAATGTTATGCAATTGTTGGGTTCTTGGCTATTTTGTTATCCAGAAGGCTGGAATCAAAGCAGATGAAAGTATTCGTTTCTCATTTGCCTGTTCATCTGACAGCTTTACAGTTCATCTGTCTCCACTGAAGTACAGTGTTGTTAACAAAAAAATCCACTCTAATTCCAGTCCATTACATTTGTTTTATTTCTTTTCAAACAAAATATATATTTGTATAGTTTATACACTATGGTTCAAATGTTTAGTGTTGGCAAAACAGTAATATTGTGAGATTGCATTCCAATTAAGATGTCATCTATTCATGTGATGGCAAAGCTGAATTTTCAGCATCTTTACTCCAATCTTCAGTGTCACACGATCCTTCAGAAATCATTATTAAATGCTGATTCGGTGACCAAGAACCATTTATTAATATTATCAATTTTGAAAACAGTTGTGTTGCTTAATATTTTAGTAAAAACCATGACATTTTTTAGAATTCTTTGATGAATATAGAAATGCACAGTATTTATTTGAAATATAGATTTTTAACAATGCCTCTGCTGTTACTTTTGATCAATTTAATGTGTCATGCTGAATAAAAAAGTATAATTGTTTTAAAGTAAAATTAAATCCTATTACTCACTCCAAATTTTCGAACATCAGTGTATATATTATGAAAAAACAGTTTGTAACAAAGAGAATTATAGGCAAGGGAATCTACAAAAAAATATATATTAAAATGATGCCTTTATATTAAAATGAAGATGTATCATGCTTGTTAGGCCCCACACAATCCTTCACATTTATCAAAGCATACATGACATTTAAGGGTGAATCTTTCGACTGTGGACGCTTACATTAGTTTTAACTCTTCGGTTTTCTAAGTTAATTTCTTCCGTAAAGAAAAATAAGGGTTCAAACTCTATTTCTTTTTTCATAATGCTTTCTTCCAGTGCTTGTGCCGACTAAGCAGTCTGTATTGCTTTCAGAGTTTGCAATATTAATCATAGTATACTCCCTGTAGACATTAATCATGTTTGTTTTCATTGACAGTGTGCGTGAACATTGTATCCAGTCTAAAAGCAATGAAAATCCTTAAAAGGTTGGGGAGCCCGAAAGGTGTTTGGACCAAAGATGCCAGGTCAGCAAAAGTCTACATCTTTAACGGTACATCCGACAACACGCTGTACGAATTCAACTCCGTGCGAGAGCTCTCTGCATCATCAGGCATGTCTAAAGGCAGGCAGATCACCGTTCCCACCGCTTGGAATGGGACCGGTCATGCAGTCTACGATGGCTTTCTCTATTATATTAGTGAAAGTTCAGAGCTCCAAGTTATTAAATATGACCTCAAGAACGATTCGGTTGCAGACAGTGCAGTGCTTCCCATGGAGGACCGCAGCCCGGTGTACCAACTCAATCCAGAGACGCTGGTGGACCTGGTGGTGGATGAGGATGGGCTGTGGGCACTGTATCCAGCTGGAGACACTATCAATCTTGCTAAGATGGACTCTAACTCTCTGGACATAGAACAGATGTGGGACACTGCGTGTCCAAGAAACAACGCTGAAGCTGCTTTTATTGTCTGCGGCACAGTCTATGTGGTTTACAACACCAAGCCGGCGAGCCGCTCGCGTGTGCAGTGTGTGTTCGATGTGAATGACATGGTTAGCAGCGGCGAAGCCCCTCTGATTTATTTCCCCAGGCGCTTCGGGGCCCATTCCAGCCTCAAATACAATCCTGAGGAGCGGCAGCTCTATGCATGGGATGATGGGTACCAGATTCTGTATAAACTAGCGCTGAAGAAGAAGCTATGGGCGATAATGCCACCACCTGAGGAATAGTGGACCTCTTTAGCTCTTTAGGGCTTTATTTTCCTGGCTACAAAACATTACTGAAAATGAAAATCCTGTCATCATTTACTCACCTTCATGTTGGTCTTATGACTATGACTTTATTTCTTTCATGGAACTAAATTGGAAAAATGTTGAAGAATAAATTTCTTTCCAGACAGCAATATTAGTGTCGGCCCAGATGTGGCCCAGATTTGGGCCGACACTATGTTGCTTTCTGGGATTAGGAGGCATTCAACCGCCAAAAGGGACTCGAAACCACCATAAAAGTCATCTTCTCTGAGTTAGAACTTTTACATGAACTGGCTAATCCAGGTCACAAAACCAGTCTGAATGATTTGTTCACAACTGAATCTGTTCTCAAGTTCAATTCACTGAGTCATTGAGTTGGTTCACTGAATTATATGTTAATGTTAAACAACTTAAATTTGGTTGTAATTCTCACATAAAGCTATCATGACTTTTTGTGAAAAAACAGACAATTTTTTTTATAGAAATATGAATCTGAAGTTGAATAATGGTTTGAATAAAACTCTTTTTCCACAATATAGAATTCATTTTAAATGTTCACATAAAGTTATTATATGACTTCATAAGACTTGAAATATAGTGGCTTATATAATTTGGAATGACATCAGGGCAAGTAAATGATGGCATATGTTTAATTTTTGGGTAAACTAATCATTTGCCTTTATCAACGCGCAAATATATTGCTTTTGTTGCACATTTTTTAAAATATGAGACAATATGCAGTCTCTATAATGTAACCCTCTATTTGTGATTTGATGACAGAAGTTCACAAGAGTGAAAGAGAAGCAACTCTGTCCTTGAAATGGCTGAAACAATATTTTATTTTGGCATTTTTTAAATACAAGAACCTTTTCAAACATTACAAGTCATTTTGCAAGTACAAATGATCAATACAAAATTAGAAAGTTGTTCAGATTCACAAGGGGGCAGAAACAGGTTGTTAAAACACCAGCACACATACGTTAGTGATGAGGTAAAGAACCAGATCTAAACCTTATTAACTTTACATTCACCTACAGAAAAAACACTTTATATTATCGGAGTATTACAACATTGGTGATATTGTAAAAACGGGACCAAAAAGTTTGTCACTTTGTCACAACCATTTCTTTAACAAATTGACTTTTTGACATAATTTTTTAAAGATTCTGTTAAAATATTAAATCTATATATACATTTAAAGCTTAACAGTTACCCTATGAGATGATGGAGGGCATTATGTAAAATAACCAACTGGAGCGTAAACGAACTGCCTGCATAGGTTTTTTTTTTTATTATCTTTTTGGTCTGTCTTTTCTTTTTTGAAACATAAGTCAAAATGTTGAGGACCCAAAGGGGAAGCTCTGAACTAATTCAGTAATGTCTGTGCATTTATGCAACTCATCTCCAGCATATGCATTATGTTTAAAAAAAATTGACAGGAGAATATACTGCAGTGATCATAATTTATCATTTTGCTGGGGTTTGCCTGAGCACCTCTTTCTGCTAAATTTAAAGTTAAATTGTGTTGAATGAATGTAAAACAAAACAGAGAAACCACAGGAACAAATAAATAAAATATTGCGGGCAATGGAAATTGTAAAGACATTTATGACATTAACAATTAAAAAAATAACACTATTTTCACTGATCTGTTGAGCATTAAATATTATAAAAATAGCACTTGCACAAGATGGCATGACTTATTTTTAGACTTACAGTTACTATACGTATATTGAATTGTTTGGTTATGCAGATATTTCCATGTAACAGTTCTGCTGGATACAGACTGTACCACATTATTTTATGCACATCCTTTCAAATATCCCTAATTTTTTTTACAAAGAATTGTTGTGAAATAAAACAAAAATAAAAATATGAATCTGAAGATGTATGTTACAATTTTATGTAAAGTCAACCCTGCTCTTTTAAACAGTACATAATATAAATATATTTTATAAGTCTGAGGATACAATGAAAACTTTGACAGTCACAAACAATTTAACTCAATAAAATGACATATCAAAGTGTTAGATTGAATCAGCATGAGGAGTTGAATTGCTATTAAATGCAGTGCTACTAAGATACAAATCCTCTTCTGCATCTCTTTAAATGCTATTAAAATAAGGTGAATACTGTACAACCCACATAAATCAAGACAGATCTCTATGGATATTTCAGCACTCTTACCTTAAATGCCCAGTTTTGTACCTGGTCTTGACGATGAATATTGTTTTAATCACATAAATGTATTCAGCTACATGTGAAGTGTTTTTGTGTGTGAACAGGAAGTTCTTTACATGTAAACCATCTGTGTTTCATCAAGAAATGAATGGATAGGAAAAGTTTGTTGTGCTCTGATATAGTACATAGACAGTCTCTTTTTACACACAATATTTATACAACATCTATAAACCGATAATTGTTTTAAAAAGTACACCTTCACACAGGTTTCATACAAGGATTTGACAGAGAAAATAGTTTGTTGGTAGTATAGCACATGACAAATCCGTTGGCGTTCTCTATTTCTCACTCACACAAAACATTGTCCTTTTCCCTCAATATTTTATTTAGGCTACCAACATTTTTTACTTCATTCTTAGGACTTCCAATATTTAATCTTCCATCCACAAAGACCTTCATTTGTAGCATTGAGTGGAAACTTCCGCTTGCAGAACACCGCAACGGATTTCAAATACTTCAGGAAAATTCATATTGGAAAGGAACATCTCTGACGATACCAAGCTATTCTAGGAACACAAGTTGGCTTTGTAGAGTATTTGTACAACACTTCCTTGAACTGACGATCATAAGTACTGGAAGAGCTTGAACATGAGGAACATCGGGGCAAAGATACTGTAGTAGGGCCTGATCTTAGATCAATGTTTGGGAACCGTCTAAATCAACCCGTAGCAGGGCTCTCGTTTTCATCAGACAGACAAATGGGCTTCAGCGAGGATGCCGAGCCTGTAGGTTCACATATGGCTCTGATCAAGGGCTGGCAGGAGGTTTGGGGGAGGGGCAAGACCCCTGACTGTCAAAACTGGCCGTTCTAGCTTTCCACTGTAAGAAAAGACACATGAAAAAAACATTAATTAGAGCATTTAAGAGTAGAAGCAGCAAGAGTGAGCAAATTGCTCAGAAGGGTTATTTACATGATGGTTGGATGAAACTGATGCCTCTAAAGTTATATTATAAGTTCAGGAGTTCACACTTACATACAATTAGGTGGGGTAAAGTTTAATGCGTATTTGGCGTGCTGTTCGGGAGGAGGGCTCCGAACTTAGAGGACTCGCCCCTTTGTAAGTAGTGTGGAGATCCACTGTCAATGGATTGAGGTGAGACTGCTGAGTCTATATATACCTCTTATCTTTGATTGTTGAGTGCTCTCTAATTATCTGAACATGCTCCTCCCAAACTTTGTTAATAAAACATCATTTAAACATATTTGTTATTTTTTATTCATTATTTTCTATATAAAAATAAATATCGTGCTTTTAATTAATGCAAGTCCAAACACATCTAATCACGTTCCACTTAAGCGAACTGCATAAATGAGGCTACAAATGAACTAATTAATCCTCAACCTGATTTTTCTCATGCTTTTATGAAATTATTTGCGCATCAGGGGATATTACAGTTGTTAAAATGAGAATAAGCATTTGTTGAATAGCCTTTTTTTTCTCTGGCATGCTAATTTATTCAGTACAAACTTAATTAAATGAAACAATAATTTCAATAATGGTGACTTACAATAAAACATCATTTAACTCAAATCAGAAACACAACCATACCCCTTTAAAAAATGACCAAAAACAATGCCTTACAAACTAAGCCACCAATTATTTCTTGGGTCAACTTAATATTCAGATAAACGAGTGTGTGGCCATGCCCCCAAACACAATGCATAGATTCCCAGACAGGACCTCAGCAGAAACAATTGACAACTTTGTTCAAAATAAAAACAACATTTATTATTGTATTTAACAGAAAATAATTAAGTGGCCTAAATGAAGAGAGCAAAATGCATAACATTTACATAGCGCCAAATTAAATTTTTCCCCATCATGATTAAATCTTGACCACATTAGAAAAGGGGACAGAATTCAGTGTGTGAATTCAAATCAGCTCTGACATATTCCACTCATGTATTATTCATAAAGCACAGTACAAGTTTGAGGATGTGACTTGAGGGATCTGAATATTTACAAAGAGAGATTGACGAGTAGTCAGAAATGAATTCTGAAAATGCAATTTGCATTAAAAAAAAGTTCTTAGTTCTAAATCAAGTGAGTCTTGGAGGCTCGCTGTCCTGCAGAGTTTTGCTCCAACTTGCCGCAACACACCTGTCTGAAAGTTTGTGGTATGCCTTGGAAGACCTTTTATTAGCTGGTTCAGGTGTGTTTAACTGGGATTGGAGCTGAACTCTGCTGAACTATATCAGGCCACCCCTGATAAACACTAATTCAGAGGGTTATTATGCCTACCCTTCATGTTTATGTTTGCATTCCTGGAGGGAGGGTTACTTACCACTTTTTCGGATTTCTTAGGCTCCACCAGGGAGTGCCAGTGTGCAATTGGCTTACGGGGGTATGTGAGCATCTCATTCCAGTGGTCTCTACCTAAACCTTCAGCACCACATCCCAAACGGCACACGCCAATTATCTCATTGTGGCCCACCCTGCAAGATAAGATTAGTTTGTTATAGAATTAAACCTTGGTATATCCGTTTAATTTAAGTGATCCAAATCAACACATCCACTCTGGCAATGCATAATGTAACTTAACGTTTGCATGACCCAAAAACATTTTGTTAACAGACAATGATATGAGTTTGCCTGCCAGTGCAACTGACCTCTTTTGCAGCAAGGTATGTGTGTAAAAAAATATGTGCATATATTCTGAGTTGGAGAGAGCAGCTGAAGTGCCACAGGATAAAGAAATCAACATACATTTACCTCAGTGGTGCTGAACTTTACGTGAGTCCTTTTGTGAACCCAAGGTAGAGAATTACGAAATAGCAGTTCCTGACATCTAATCTTGTGTGTGTTCTTGTCTTGGACACTGACTGCTCTGGACTTCAGAATGTTGGGTAAAATGTATACACCCGGTTCTTTGAGCAGTTACCCAGCTGTAGAGAAGTGAGCTGTGAATGCTCTGACATCTGACCTTTTCCTCTTTCTACTTAAGCACATGTAGTCTACTCTGTACCATGTGATCATTCTGATGTCTGGTGATCCTGCTATTCTAACGTATCCTGTTGATTGTTTCAATATTTCTCTGTTTGGGTCGTGTGCCTTGAGTTTGATGCACAGTATATTACAACCACATATCCAGGAAAGTTTAGTAAAATGCAATAAAATAAAGAATCTGTGGTTTGTTAATTCTCTTGAACTTTATTTAACTGGCAAAAGTACAAAGGAAGGAATACCAATGTTTTTACTGAAAATTTAATAATCAAATTTTGATTTTGATGGCTGCAACACACTACAAAAAAGTTGGGAGAGAGGCAAAATAAAAGTGCTAAGATTATAGAATATGCAAGTTAAAGGGGTGATGAACTGAGAAATCAAATTTTCCTTGAGCTTTTAACATCTAAGAGATCATCATATAAGAATATCCTGTAAGTGTCAGAACTGAAAACATCCTTGTTAGTCCAATATAAGCTTTTATTGAGACCAGCCTCAGCACTCATTTTTAACGACTCATTTTTAAAAGTGGGGAACTATGATGTCAGAGGTTAAAACACCACCCCCGCAGAAGAAGATCAACGCCTACTTCAACACGGCCGGTTTAGCCCCGCCCACTGCTTCGCGCATTGCACGCATAGCTAACATAGGCCTACCTCGTGCTACCGAGCAATACAGAATATTGTTGTGCAGTGCCTGGTTGTGGAAGACAGTCGGTGCATAAGCTTCCTCTGGATTCCAATAGGACTGCATAAACTTATTTTTTAATGACGTTCCACTCCAGCTGATGAGGGTAAAACCGTCTGTTCGCTTCATTTCACTGAGGATTGTTTTGTAAACAAGACTGGATTTGCTGACCGATTAGGAGTAAAGAACAGTGCTGTGCCGTCTGGATCTGGATTCCGGTTGCCATTTTACAACATTGGTTGGACGTTTTCAAAACAGTTTTCCCGGTAAGTTGATAAACTCATAATAACTATAATATGCAAAACTGTTATCCACTCACAGCAGTAGTGTTTACTTCCAAGTCTTCAGTGCAAAACGCCCATAATATCCGTGCGTTTCTGAGCTGGTCTCAAAGCTAGGGTAGACAATAGCTTATTAGTTATTCATTTTTTTATGTTTTTGAATGGTAAAACCAAGTGAACGTCATATGTTCACATCAGAAAACAATATAATTAAATTTAAAAAGCCAGTTCATGACCCCTTTAAACTCTTTTAAAACAGTCCACTGGTGTAATAAGGGTATCGTTGGTATAAAAGGAGCATCTCAGTCTTTGCAAGAGTCATTGCTCACCACTTGGTATTAAATATCATCTGAGAATTGTCACGCCATAAAAAATTACATTTCTCAATACAAGACTGCAAAGAGTTTATGTATTTTACCATCTACCATAATATTGTGAAAAATGATGTGTTAAATTCTGACATTTTTTTGTTTGGAAAGGCAATATGCAGTGGAGGCGTGAACGGCCCAACCCCCTCATGAATAATTAGGTAGTTTTCACCTGTGAAAACAAAGACCCGCATAATAGCTTTCATTCAGGTGTGTCACACGAGAAAGAATGCGAGGACAATATACATACATACATCACACACAGGGCTCTATCTTGCACCAGGCGCAAATGACTTTATACACTAACGCATGTCTCATTCCTATTTTGCACCCGCGCAAAGCGGGCTTTTTTCCTCCAAAGACGCACGTCGGTAAACTAGGAAATGAACTTGCTGCGCTCCCTGGGTGGATCGGCGCTAAAAGGTGGCGTGTTTCGGCGCAAACATTCCCTGGTGCTATTTTACAATTCCAGAAAACAATTGCGCCACTGACCAGAAAAAACCTAGTCTAAAGCGCGTTGTTCATAATGCTATTTCAAGCGCACATGCTTGGCCATAATGTCGCGGGTGCACAACGCGCATACACTTCAATTCTCTCATCAACACAGATGCAGCAGTTTTTTTAGTTTTGCAAATCATACATTATTAACACATGAGGGATATCATTATGGTTTACATGAAGATGAAAAAACCTAATTACCCATTCTTTTAAGGCTAATTGTAGTACTGACGGATCAAACCTGTTTGCCCAATAGTGGCAAGAAACATATATGTAGGCCTGGCCTATGTTTAACCGACGCTGATGTGGGAATTTTCTCCCATACAACGTCACTTCTCTGTCTTTCACTGCCCTGACAAAAACGTCGGTCTCATCGGCTGTGAACGCTCTGCATGGGTCACGCCTGGTAAACCTGCCGTTATAATAACAATCCATCATGCAACATGTGCACCTGCTCTTAAAGGGTATGTTGGATGGCGCTCTGATTGGTTTATTTCACGTTACGCCCAAACCACACCTATGAATAATGAAGCTACTTCAGACCAACCCCTTTTAGATTTGCGTCAGACGCAAGAGGCATTTATCCCACCGGGAAAATAGCTACTTGCGCTTTGCGCTTGATACTTGCGTTTCAGATCGTTAAAATAGGGCCCACAGTATATTTTTAGTCATACCTAAAAACAAATCATGTTAAAATTTTATAGAATTGGTTCAAAGTTAGAGTTGGAAACATCTTGAAAAGAAACTTGTCTTCTGAAAATGTTTGTTTATGTTTATCTGAAGAAAGAAAGTCATATACATTGGCATGAGGGTGAGAATATTTGGGTAAACTATCTAAATTAAAATTAAAATGTGGTAATTTTCTCATATCTCATATTATTTCAAAACGGTAAAATTTAAATTGAAAATTAATTATATATATATATATATATATATATAGCAACAGCGCCCTGATCCGCCCACAAATTTACTTGCGCTTCGCGCTTGATACTTGCGTTTCAGATCGTTAAATATATATATATATATGTTTTTCCATATGCAATTATAAAAAATGAGGGCTGTAGTTTTCATGTTTTAAAAATCAAGAATAAAGTATCATAAAAGTATAATAGTTCATATGACTTCTACATTAGATATAAGCCAGTTGTTCTGTTCATGTTAGTTATCAAGTGTGTTCTCAGTATTATTTTTGAGTTTTTGTTAATAAATCGTCACTGCTATGAACAGATCCAGCTCCTTTCCTTTACTTTTGCAACCACCGCTGTCAGACAGTGAGTCAATATTGAATTTTCACTTTCGGTTGATCTGTCTCTTTAAATTTCAATGTATAAATGAGAAATAGCTGTTACATACAGGTCATAGTCCATGACTGAGATGTGCAAGCTGACTTGGTCCATGCTCTCAGGAGGGATGTCAAAGATAATAGCCTCATTATAAGTGGGATTCAGGGTGTTTTTCTTCGTCGTGGTTTTCTTCTTTTTGAGACGTCTCCCATCACAAATGAGGGATACCTTCACATAGGGATCTGCAAAGAGAAAACACTGGCATTAGGGCAGATCATTTAAGCGCTATTCGTTTCACATTTGCAGTTTGACTTGTTTTACTTTAATTTAAACTACTACAATAGTTTAATCAAATAAATTGATGAGAGTATTAGATGAGATTAGAAATGAATGCTGGGTATCTTCATAAAGCCAAATTTGCATTCAGTGTGAATAGAAGATCATTGAGATTTAGAGCTTTATTGAAATGAATTGAGTGCTGATTCTAACATCAGAGCTGCATACTGATTTCCATCCCTCTCCATTATTATAATACGCAATTTGTCTGATCCATTTATCGTGTACATTAGTCAGTCAGCCATAAACTACTTCCAGCTTGAGCAGAACAAATCACATGTGAAGTACTTGTTCTGACAACAAATTAGCTTGGAGCACTTCTAAACAGATATAATGCACTGCGTGTGAATAAAATGTTACTGCAAATGAAAAACGTTTGCTCCTCAGCAGATAAAAGCAAAAATGTCTGGTGTGTAACACACTATCTTTAGAAGGAAAAACCATGATAGTGTGAGTAATTCATGTTATTGGAGCTTAAAATTGTTCCCTGCGTCACATTCGTAACGCTTCTTTAGACTGTCTGGCTTAACTCGCTCAGTGATGCTGCTGATTTACCTCCGGGAAAGTTTGTTAATATGAACAGACTCAACAGAAGCCAACTTGTAACATGAAACCACGATTAGAACGTGCTGGACGTGTGCATTAACTATTTATGAGAAAATCAAAAAAGCTTTCTAGAAGCCATAAAACCAAATGGACCAATTATAGGAGAGAGTGGTGCTACTTTTTGTTTATGTTGTCCTTTAGGCAAGGGGAAATGAGACCGAGGTAATATAAAATGGCTACACTTCAGGGTGTGTCAGAATGACCCTAGTGGAATTGGACCCTAAACTAAAGTGTTACCAAATGTTTCTTTCAAAACGGATAGTCACATAAAGTATGTTCTCTAGATTGAGAGAGGGCTTAACACTTTCACCGCACTCTCCCCTTCTTATTTTGATGCTCAAAGGCAGTAAAGCTTTGAGTGGTGAAATTCTACCTGAGTATCCTGTTATGTCCATTGCCTTTAGGTTCCTGCACTTGATGACTGTGAGTGTTAATCTTCCTGCTGTAGGTAGATAGCAGAGTGAGAACATGATCTCCCCCAGGTCCACGCTCTCCTGTCAGACACAGACACAGACAAATCAATGTAGCATGATGTATTGGCACATTTTGTTACAAAGGTCACTTTTTCAATTCAATAGCTCTGGATAATAAAGATAAAAACAGTAAATGTGCAATGATGTACCAGCAACAGATACTATTAGAGTAGACACTGTTCCACAAGCATCACTCCCAGTCAAGATGAGTATAGAAACTCATTTCCATCTCATGAAAAAATAAATAAAAAATGCCTTGGTAAATTATAATTATGACAAAAGTTGAAATTATACTAAGCCATAGATACCAAGAATGACACTAATCCATAATTATGAGACTAAATGTCAAAATTATGACATATTAAACGTAATAACGCCATAGGTTGAAATAAGATAAACAGCCAAAACTATTAAATCATAAAGTCTAAATTATGAGATTAAAAAATCTCATGACAGTCAAAACTCTCTTTCATAATTATGTCAACTATATCTATGACATTTTGTGTTATAATTTACCAAACCATTCTTTTTTGAACGCGAGCGGAAACAGGCTTCTATTCAGACTTCCCAATGCTATGACTAATTGTGACTAGCGGTGTTTCCTTTGTGAATGAATCTATGTTTTGTGCAAGAATCTTTTAAGAGGATGAATCATTGTAACAGTGTTGATAGTCAGTAATTATTGTCTTTTCAATCTGCACAGTGGCTGAATAGAGAACTATTCTGCATTAATACGATCAAAACAGTCACTTTGCTATAGGTTCCCACCCAGATACGCTAAAAGCTAGTTAGAACTGCAAGAAGTTATTTATTGGTATCTTTGGCATTTTGACAATGATGGTTGGGTTTAATAAGCCTTTGACTCAATATCGTGGGTTAGGAGAGTACTGATTGGACATATATAGTCACAGTGACCAATTAGTTGTTGCGATTCTCCAAGCCGGAAGCTCTCCTGGACACCACTCGAGCAAACTGTTAATTAAATGTCAACACTTCGAAACATTTTGGCCTTTCCACCAGGGCATGAGGTCCATTATTTCCATCACAACTGATCCAAGCATATCAAGTTTCTTTTAGATCAAGATAAAACAAGTGTAGGCCTATCCAACAAAAATGAGGCAGAATTTTTAGACATTAAGACCACCCACTTTGTCTGAAAGTTAAGCACATGTGATGCAAAGGCGAAGGAAGCTAGAGTTAGCGTGTTAGCGTCATCATCTCAGCAGTATTAAGTCATGGCGTAAAAATTAATCACTTTAAATGAACTCAATAAGCCTCTCTCTGACAGACATATCCCATGACTCCCTACTTGTGGCTTAATGTCTCTCTAGCCCTCTAAGGTGATTATTTGCAGTTTCCACTTAAGTATCATATAGGGACTTTTTAAAGTGGACTGATGGATAGGCAAAATGCCAGCTTGACAGAAAGAAAAGTAAAGCAAGTAATACTAAATAAAATTTAGTAAAAGTAAATAAATTGACTGTTACAGAATAATTTGGCAAAGGTTAAAAAGTCAAGCTTACTAAATTTTGTCTGATTTCCGAATACAGTGAATGTGTTGATTTTGTAAAATGATTTGACTATTTCTCAGATCACACCAAATTCCTTCCATCTTCGCCTTTTGGAACATGTTTGCTGTCAGCTGGCATTATCTTAAAGGGACAGTTCATCCCAAAAAATCTGTCATCATTTACATTTAGCCCATCGTTATCCATTGGTATATGAAATATAAAAGCAGAAGTTGTTTTTTATGTTATTTTGTTTACAATGAAAATAAATGGTGATATCAAGTTTCTTATCCCAAGTCTTCTAAAGCAATCAATAGCTTTTTGTATGAAAAAGAGCAAAATTTAAGTTATTTTTCACGTTTAATTCTCTCCTCTGTTATAGGTGCACACGTATTTAAATATGACACACCATCATTGAAGTCCGTGATTTCAAACGCCATTAGTTCTTTTGTCTTGAAGCCATTTGTGACACCAAATTTTGACAAATGCACAAATTAAAATTGAATACTTGAATAACAATACAAATTTGAAAATGCACATATCTAATCTGCGTATATATGAAAAGCAGCTTAATCGTTAGTATTTTTTTTTCTTGTAACTTCAGGAGACTTGATTCATGTATCACTTTTATGATAATTATTTGATGCTTTGTCATTTTTTGAGCACTATACTCATTAACTTGCATTGTATGGAAAAGAGCAGCGTTAACATCCTGCCTAACACCTCATTTTGTGTGTAAAGGAAAAAAACAACATAATTGTTTTTTTGAATTTTGAAATGAGTGCATTGAGTTCCAGATTCAAATCTCCTGCCAAGTACAACCGAACGTGTGCTATTGTTCAAGGGGCAGCCGGCCTCCTGCCACGAAAGCAATAACCACAGCTTTATTGAATTGCTCCTTTGAGGATAGCAGTAAATCTAGAAAACAGAGAGAAATAAGACTCATTGAGGAGTATTGCCGGCCATTATGGTGTGATAAACAAACCTCAGATGACCTCAGTTGCTATTTTGGAGGTTACCTTCAATAATATTATACTGTGATTGGCAGTACCTCTTATTAGAGCCCGTTAAAAAATTAGGCAATTACTTTGTCCACACATACAATCAGCCTGTGTCAGTCATCTCCATGTGTCAATTACTACCTTATCTGTGTGTTAATGAGGGTAGATCCCTGAACTCTCATTAATTTGGCTGTCTTGGTGTAAGCAGGTGTATAGAACAGAGTTGAATATTGTGTCTGCATTTTAACAGACCATAAACCTATTCGGACTGGATAAGTATTACCTGGTGACCTCTAGTCATGTGTAATAATTGCAGAGGTTGTCTGTGATCTGAATCCTGTGCAAATCGGCCATGTCTGTAATTTGTAAAGTCAAAATTCCCAAGCAAAGGACCTACCATAATATTTTACTGAGGTCCTGTGATAATATTAGTCCTGTGCGAATCGGTATCTCTGTGATTTTGCGGGGTTGTATATAATTTTTCAATGTTTTTGTTTCCTGTGCGCTTTTTTTATCAGTCTTTCGTGAATAATGGAGTGTTATGATAGGAGTTTGGGTGCAAGGTCATATCTCTATAGCCTACACCATACAACTATACAATTTGCAGTAAGAGAAAGCTGAAAACCATCAGAAGAGCAAAAACAAAAAGAATGATTTGATGGAGTTGTGATTTGAATGAAGGGTAAGGGACATTATTCTGTTTCCTGGTTCCCAGGTAATAATTATCCCATGCAAATAGGGCTTATGTCAATAACCCAACAAGCTAATTCACATACCTTAGTCGCATCTAATGGCCTTGTTATTTAGAATTATTTTATTTTCTAATCTACACTAAACACAAACTGTCTGACCGGTGCAAAATCAAGTGTACTTGCTAAGGTTTCAAGATCCATCCTTTCTTCTCTTACTAACAAAAGTTAAACTAGTGTCTAGAATGTCGTAGATGACCTGGATGACTTATGATTTATCAGATTAGTCATGTGGTACAGTGGGGTCCAAAAATTTGAGACTATACAATGAATACATTTTTTCTGTACGATTTTTATATTTTTCAAAGAAATTTCTTATGCTGCACCAAGGCTGCATTTATTTGATCAAAATATTATTACAGTTTAAAAAAAGAACTGTTTCAAAATAGAATTCATTCCTGTGATGCAAAGAAGAATTTTCAGAATCATTAGAAGTGTCACATGATCCTGCTGATTTGTTTTGCTGCTTAATAAACCTTGATACAATTTTTAGGATTCTTTGATGAATGAAAAGTTCAAAAGAACATCATTTTTTTTGTAAACATATTGTAAATAAATTGTAAATATTATTACTTTTGAAAAGTTTTGATCAATTTAATTCATCGTTGCTGAATAAAATTTATTTTATAGGCTATATATATATATATATATATATATTCAACCATTCTTACCGTATCACATACAGAAATATACAATTTTACAATATAATAATAAAATCTAATAATATATTTTAACCTGGAAATAAATCTTTTTTTTAGCATTTTTATCAAAAAAGCTCATTTGTGACATTGATCAGGTGAACAGTTTTCAAACCAAAAGTCAACTTTTTACTCGAATTGTTTTAAATTTTCAGTGAAATTTGTGTATATAAAAAAAACTAGTGGTCTCAGACTTTTGTTACCCACTGTATATTAATTTACAGATCTGATCAATATGTGATCAATATATGAGCACCCTCATCATGTACCTCTCCCTATAAAAACCAATCGGCTTAAAATCCAGCAGAATTTCACGATTTGTCAAACACATCAAGAAAAGTGGAGAGCGGCAAGGTTCTCTTACAGAAGTAGCGTACTGAATGTCTCTCCATATGGAGGTTTCCCTCGAGAGATCAGATACTTCTAACAGATTGTCCAATATGACCTCCCCAATCATATCATGCCGTGAGAACCGGTCGAAGTCAAAAACGCTGAGATGGAGCTTCCTGGCGGAAAGCTCATCATAGGGTACCGGAAACTGGAAGGACTCGTCAAACGTGGGGTTGAGCGTTTTACGATGGACTCGTGTCTGGAACTTCTGCTTGCGATCTGGAAGCAGGTAGATCTTGACATAGGGGTCGGAGCTGCCGCAAAGATCCTTTGCTGGTAGATCAAATGCCTTGAGTATCTTGACAAGTATCATCTCATTCTCATAGTCATAGCGGAGAGAAAAGTTGATCTTGCCACAGTTTTTGCCGCCTTTACTATTGTCGGAGCCGTCGTTCTCTGTGGTCATCTGCTTGTAGAGTTCAGGCTTGATACGGCCAATGCTGGTTGGCTGCTCATCCACATCATAATCATCTCCCAGGTCCAGACTTCCAACCTGCATTTGACGGGGAAGATGACGTTTGAAGGAACTATGCCTGCAAAAAATAGATAAAGGAGAGAAAGAGTAACATGAGGGATTTGATGATGTTTAGAAAAAGTTGGATTAAAAACTGAACAGCTCAAGGCAAGGTGTATGATATTGTTATATAAACCTGAGCTCTGTCACAATTCGTGAAGACAAACCTCAATACCATGATAGCAATTGTTTCGTTATGTAACTACTTTTCTCAAAAGGCAACGGGGTGTTAAAATGAATTCTGGTGTAGTTAATTCAACTGTAGTTCATACTATTTAATATTAAAGGGATACTAGTAGAGTATAGCTTTGTATTAGTAGAAAACCTGTAGTATTTTCAAATTATGCTTTCCACCTTCATGTCCCCCTGAGATGAGAGATTTATGTAGTTTTTGTCTGGAAAAAATCCACCAATTGTCATTTTGCATCATCTCAGGATTTTTTTGGCCAGAGGCTAAAGTCTACAGTCAGTAGTTGGGGCTATCCCGCTTGTTCTCAACCTGCCCATAGAGGGTGGGATCTCACTCACAGAATGTACACATGGTGTCAGCCATATTTTTTGGAAGCTAAATAAGCAGGCTCTAGTTCTGTGGAGAAAGCTGAGCAGGGGTTTCCATCCTCTTTTTCCCAGACATGTCCGGCCGTCGATGTCCGGGATTCAGATTTTGCTCCTGCAGTCGCCATTTATTGTTTACATGCACACCTTTTGTTTCAATCTAACTGAAAATTCCCGCTCCTCCGTGAGAGATACGAGACTGGTGCGTCTCACAGGTGTCACTCATGTCACCGGCCTCGCACCGTTCTCCCACGGCCCACAGTAAACATGATGAATGGCGACTGTAGAGCGTAAAAGCTGAATCCTGGACATTTTGGGCGATCTCGAAACACACTTTCGGGCAGACTCATCACGGAGACTCACTAGTAGCCTAGACTCGTTGTTTAACTACTGTGCTCTGTTACCGGTAGGCGTGGCCTCCTAGGGCTGTGAATTGCATTCTGGGAGTTATTGTCTTTCTAAAATACATTTTCTGGAGCAAATACATTAGTACATGACATATCAAATTTTGAGTGGACAAGTTCTGTGCCATAATTAAGGTCCCTGGAACAAGACCAAATGAATCAAGCATTAGCAGCACTTCTCTTGGTTCCAGTGATTATGAAGCAGCTAAACATTAAAAACTCGCCCTGAAGTGATTTTGAAATGCATTACTGAAGGAATAAAATAACAAAGCAGTCTCAGATGAAAGACTTCACTGTCCTCTAAAATATTATGCATCATCAGCAAAATACTTTTAGAATATAAATTATATTTAATTAAAGATAATAATAAATGATGCTTTTTGAGAAGTTTATTTCTCTTGCTGGTGTCAGTATTCATCTGTTCTGTAATATCTTTATGAGATCCTCTAATGAGGTGACTGTAATTGATGCCTTTCGAGCCATACTAGAATAGCCACCTTGGACATAGAGGAAAGTTTACACAGATCTAATAATACAGGGAGCCTCTCCTTTAGGTATATTTGTGACGGATGACATGTGTAAATGGTTGCGGACACAGGCTGCAGGCTGAACATTGATCAAAAATAGGAAAAAGGCGGGAAGGTGGGCATCCCTTAAGAATAGTGTGAATTTACAGCTACATTTTAACATATTTTGCTGACTTTAGCATATACAGTATGATTATGGCTGCTGGAAAATCAGCTTTTCATCACACTTGTGTTTTTTCTTTTGACTGTAAAAATATTTACGCAGTTGTCTTATAACATTATCGTACTTTTGGGTAAGTACTTTTACCCAATTTTGGGTAAAATATGGACAAACCCAGCCATTGGGTTACATTTTTAAATGAAATTTAACCCAATGGCTGGGTTTGTCCATATTTTACCCAAAATTAGCTTAAAACAACTGGGCATTTTTTAGAGTATTTGTGTTCCTATACTTTTTGGCTCTGTTACCTGGTGGATGACGCAGGCTCTGTGGTCTGTCTCTGCATGCGCTGTGTACGGCGCAAAAAGTGCTCCCTCATGGAGAGCTGCACCTCGGCGGGGATGTCGGGAGACGTGCGGCTTATTTTAACAGCAGCCTCCAGGAAGCCCATCGACGCCAAAGAATACTTATCCTTTTCAGTCGCCATGGCGACCTCGGATGGCTGAGGACTGGGCAGGAGAGACGGTAAATGAAGTGAAGGGCAGTTGTCAGGGGCGAGGACCGCAGAACTTGACGAGAGGGCTTTGTTCCTCCAAGGAACCCAGCACAGCCTCCAGGAGACGAATGAGGAGAGCAACAGCAGCGCCAGGCCACACGCTATTATCACACCGATGGGGAGGCCAACAGTGATGTCTACAGCCGGGCGGAAGTGATGGGCCGCACAATATGGACAGACAGATGGTCGAAACAGTGAGACAGACAGAAAGAGAAGTGCATTAGTTTGGTTTCAAATGAGCAATGACTTGTTTTTATATTTATCTAAAGATCCATCAAACACTGTCTGAGGCCCTAAATTTCAAACCACGCACACACTCACAAACAGTGCAGAAATGATGAAATGTAATTAAAGTTATCGCAGATACAAGCCCATAATCTATTTCCAAGGGAACAATGCAGCGGAAGATGCCGCAGCAATATCAAGTGCTCTCACTGCGACGCTTTCAACCCATCAATGGCTCTTATGCATGTAGGCGGAAAGCAAGCTCAAACTCATTTCTTCACGATTACAGAGAATTTGCTCGCAAAAGAACAAACGGAGTGGAGAAGCTCAAAGACTGCTGACAAGCACTGTGTAAACAATAATGTAAAATAAAAGGGAGAGTTGTCATTTTGTGTGGGAGCGCTATATAGGTTCTAGAGCAATAATATTGAGGCGGCTGAATTCATTTTTATTTTCTGTCGGAGATGTGTTTTTATAGTGAGAAACGCTGATTGCGTTTTTTTTTTCTCCCAACAGTTGTATGAACGCTCTCGCCCACTGCTTCAACCGGTTTGATTTATTTGAAATAATGCATGCTGAGATCTCCCTGGGCTTCCTGAGGAACGTACAATGTGTCCTTGCTCAAATGGAATATAAATCTCTACTGACAGTTCAAAGGGCTTGGGGCCACGTCTAATTTGGAGTATTTTGCAACTTTTGTTCTTCAGTCAGTTCCTCATTCCTTTCCAAGTCATTTGTCATTACGTGACTCCTGGAAGCACACAATATCAAGTATCCTAAAGAAAGACTCGGGGTCAAAACAGGAGAAATTAATCAAGACTTTATACTTTAATACTTATAATATACTGTACTGGTCAAGAGTTTGCAAGACTAATTAAGATTCTTTTTTTAATCAAAAATAAGTCTCTTATGCTCGACAAGGCTGCATTTATTTGATCAAAATACACTGTTTTCTTTTTATTATGCAGAATTTATAAGCAGTCATTACTCCAGTATCCAGAGTCACATAGAAATCCTTCTAATATGCTGATTTGATGCTCATTGCAAATAAAAAATATATCTTCTGATCAGGTCGTATCTGTATTTCCAACCCGATCTCACGACCAAGTCGTACGAATTTGACGAATGATTAAAAAGTGGCTAATTCGTAACAATTCATACGACCTCACTCGTACGAATTCATACGATTTTGCTAAATCGTACATATTTTACGAATTGGCCAATTCGTATGAATTCGTACGAATGACCTACCCCTTACCCCGCCCCTAAACCTAACCATCACGTGGGTTTAGACAAATCGTAAGAATTAGTACGAGTGAGGTCGTACGAATTAGTACGAATTAGCCACTTTTTAATCATGCGTCGAATTCGTACGAATTGGTCGTGAGATAGTGTTGGTATTTCTTAAAAAATATGTATAACCGTACAAAAATATTTCAGTTTATTTGAGAAAACAATTTTTCCTCAGGCATAAAGATGAAATAAGAAAAAAAATACTGGTTTAACGTTATTTTGTTGTTGTTGCATCATACGTAGCTTCTCTAAAGTTTCTAATATGTTACAAGCCATATATTTGCTGACGTTTCCCATCGCCTGAATAAACTGTCAAGCGGTTTTCTGTAAACTGCTTTCTCTAAAACGTCCATTTCAAGGGCTCAGGGTTTATCCCGAATGGATATGAAATTTCTTGGTCCAGGGATTTATGTGTTCAGCGGATTTTCACATTCAAACGCTGCCATAGCTTCTGGTTTGTCAACTGAAATGATCCAGACTCTGAAATGTGTCTCCCACTGGTTTGCCACTGTTGTCTCTTTGATTTCTAATAAGTCTGGCTCGCCTGTACAGCTGGACAGGGCTGATAATGCCAAGGTAATGTGACAGATTTTGTTAGTGGGGTTAAACAATAATTTTAGTCGTATGTAAGTGTGGTTACAGGTGTAGCCTTGTTTAGTGTTCATGCGCTTGGTCTTAAATGGGAGTTTGAAAATTTGTGTATGCCTGATGAAGGTCGTGAGACTGAAACGTTGCTAATAATGAATTTTTATCAGCCTATCATCTGCAGGTATGTGATGGATTTTTATTGATTAAGTCATGTGTAAAATGGGACGTTGATGCCATGCATACTGGACATTAATGATGATTTGGCTGTAAATCAGCCTGAAGAAAGCAGTACAAAAGACAGTAAAGCAAAGTGAGCTTCCACCCATTGCGATATGGATAATGAATCCAAACAGTGACATTGTGACTCCCCATGGACCTAGTTGCCAACCAGCATGATATTTCACACCGCTCTGGTTATAATACTCAGCTAATGATCCATGCATATAATGGTTCATAAATGCAATCAGTCAGTCACCAAATATTTTTCTCAGGCCTGTCCAAGACAAAGGGAAGCCGTACAGTCTCAGGTGATTAGTGCGAAAATTTGTCAAAAAAGCGACTCTTTTCTTGGATTAAAGTCAAAAGCCTAATCTAGGGTCAATGACATATAACATATTAATCTTTATAGCTTCACATGTGAGCGTAATCATTGCTTTCAAAAAAGTTTTGAAATGTATCTAATTCATACTGTACATTTGTATTGCTGTAATTTTACACACACACACACACACATACACACACACACACACACATATATATAATTCAAATAACATTGTTTATTAATATTTGTTCATTATTTATTAATTCATAAATATCATTAAGGTTTAGGGGCTTGCCAAATTACATTTTACAACATGATCTATGCTATCCTTGGTATAACATTTTTGAATGTTATTTTAGTATCATTCATGTACTATTATACTTTTTAATATTTTGAATTTAATTTTATTCTTATAAAGTTTTAGTCATTTTGTTGTATGTTTTTGTCAAGTTTTTTCTTAAATGTCTACATAGTTTTCATTAATTTTTATTTCAGTTTTAGATATTTTAGTTAGTATATGTCATTGAAAATGAGAACGGTTGAACTAGCTAAAATATAACAGATTTATTATTTTTTTTAAATAATTTGTTTTTATTTCAGTTACAATTATTTTATTTCTTTGTTTACACACTGAACAAATTTATAAATGCAACACTTGTTTTTGCAGCCATTTTTAATGCGCTGAACTCAAAGATCTAAGACTTTTTCTATGTACACAAAAGGCCTATCTCTCTCAAATAATGTGCATAAATCTGTGTTAGTGAGCACTTCTCCTTTGCCGAGATAATCCATCCACCTCACTGGTGTGGCATATCAAGATGCTGATTCAACAGCATGATTATTGGACATGTGTGTCTCTAAAATGTGCAGTTTTACTATTGGGGGGTCCGAGGGGGGGGGGGGGGGGTGGTGGTGCTCAAACATGCTCATCAAAACGTTTGATGTCATTTTGTCGGGTCCGTTGATCAGACTGCAAATGCATTTGGCTGCTAATTAAATATGCAGTCAAGCTTTTCTTAACTCTCTATGTAGGCTAGTATCCTGAAAAACAACCTCAACCTCTGGCGCATAATGAATCCACAGCATTTATGTTTGTGGAACATCTTGGCGCTCAGCAGCATTTTCCAGGCCAGTGCTGCAGAAGCAGAGCGGAGAACATGTTGTCCTATGAGATAACACATGAAGGGAAGGGGCTGTTCATTTCCCCCCTCCTCCTCAGACACAGGGTTCACTAGGGTTGGGCCTTGTCTGGAGCACATGAGTAATATCAGGAGGCCCACAAATTCAATTAAGATGTGTTTTGAAACGGAGTCAGGGAACAAACTAGGGCCCGAGGGTTTTTCCTTCAAATGTCTTCAAATGTAACCTGGTTTTCATAGAAACCCAGCTATAAGATGCAACATGTGCCCTGTCGGGTCTCATCATCCAATCCCGAGCAAAAACAAAAAGCTTTGTTGTGTGCTCAAAGGACAGCATGAAATTAAGAATTAACGTGAGAGGACATAAAATGTGAGGCAACAAACAACAACATTAGAGGGGTCATCTGAACCTTGAAATGAAGCCAATTAAAGAACCTCTAACATGGGCCTTTCTTTAATTACAGGATAAAATTGCAACAAAATGGAACACTGTGCTAACACATCCTAATTTAACCTTACACAAAGGGCAATCAGGAAGACAGTGTGTTAACCCAACTCAGCGGACCTCAATTACACAGTCTCTCTTCCACCCACACATCTCCGACAGCTGATATTTTCAGGACAATGGGAGCTACACTGATAGGAACTGGCATCACAATTAGTGGCCACCATTAGGGAGAGCTCAGAGGCATTGTCATATCATGCCTTCGAACCAGATCTCTGTTCCTATGTGAACGCATATAGATTATTTAATATTGATGGTGGAATTGGCAGGAAAATACACTGCAAAGTGTAAATCTGTCTCCTATATGGTCTCTTGAGGATGTATGCAAATATATGTATAGCTATATATAGCTACAGAAGGACTATAGCTGCCTCCGAGTTCAAAGCATTCCTACTTTAGTCAAGATCAATTAGATCGGCTCGAATAAATCAATGTGACAGCTCACTAAAGAGCGTTTTGTGATTTCTAGTACCACAGTGCACTTTACCAATTAAAAGTTTGCAGTCTTGCATATTTTTAAAGGGGTGGTTGATTATGATTTCACTTTTCTAACTTTAGTTAATGTGTAAAGTTGCTGTTTGAGCAGCAACGTCGCTCAAAGTTCAACGCAAAGGGAGTTATTTTCTTTTAAAGAAATAGCCTTATAATTTATTTTTTTTTAAATAGAGACATCACTAACCCTTAAATTTACATAAACCCCGCTAAAGAGTGCCATGTGCGCTGGATGTCAACGCATTGGCTTAAGCGTCAGTATATGACGCCTTGGGATGAGAATGCGTTGGCTAGAATTAATGACTAGAAGATAACTACACACATAACTTCGTCAACTAACCACATGTTGTCACT